CCCCCCCCCCGCCCCCCTCCCCCATTCCCTCCGCCCCCTCCACCACCTTTGCCCCCAGCAACTTCACCTAAGCCAACCATTTACCCTAAAAAAAAGTTGGCAGTTGCAGCTCCAGTGACTCCAACGACTGTTGTTACAACCCATATTGACACTATTACTACAGTAGAGGCCACAACTGCTCGGAAGAGTAATGGGTTACCTGCCACCAAAATATGTGCCACCACACCTCCTCCTGTCCCTCCTAAGCCTTCTTCAATTCCAACTGGACTTGTATTTACGCATAGGCCAGAACCAAGCAAACCTCCAATTGCCCCCAAGCCAGCAGTTCCTCAGATTCCAGTGACTACACAGAAAACAACAGATACATGCCCCAAACCAACAGCTCTGTCTTTAACTTCAAATATGTCCTTGAATTTAGTGACTTCAGCAGATTACAAACTGCCTTCCCCTACCTCTCCACTTTCCCCACACTCTAATAAATCCTCACCAAGATATTCTAAGTCTCTAATGGAGACTTATGTGGTTATTACATTACCCTCTGAACCTGGGACTCCAACAGATTCTTCTGCTGCTCAAGCCATTACCAGTTGGCCCTTGGGATCACCCCCGAAGGATCTGGTTTCCCTTGAAACAGTGTTTTCTGTAGTTCCTGCTATGACAGCTACAGAAATTCCAAGTTCTTCACAGCCAACCCTGTATGCACCAGGAACTTTGGAGACATTTTCTGCTGCACCTGTTGTAACAGCATCTCTATTTCAAGGAGCTCCAACTTCACCTACAAAGCTTCTTACAACAGAAGCTTCAAAAACTATGGTATCCACAACCAGAAGTGCAGTCCCAAGCATCGCTCCCAGAAGTGTTTCTATACCAATCCCTCCAGAGCCTCTTGCTCTGGACAGGCATCAGTACAAGGAAAATGGAAATTTGCAGCTTATTGGTGATGCCATTGATTTGCGTACAATACCAAAAACAGAAGCTAAAGCAACGGAAAAATGTATGGATCTTTCTGCTTCTGCAATGGATGTGAAAAGACAGACCACAGCAAATGAAGTTTATGGTCGACAAATTAGTGCTGTCCAACCTTCTATCATGAATCTCAGTGCAGCTTCCTCTTTAGTAGCTCCAGTCACCCTAGACTCTGAGACTGTGGCTGTTGTCACAGGCACAGCAGGCACAGGAAGCCAAGTGAGTGTTGAGCATGCAATGGTATCACCCCTCCAGCTCACTACATCAAAACATACCGAGTCACCATACAGGATATCAAGTGGGCAGCCATTTCCGATGATTAGAGATGAAGCACCGATAAACTTATCGCTGGGTCCTTCAGCTCAGCCAGTGACACTGGCTGTTACGAAGCCTGTCACTGTACCTCCAGTCGGTGTCACCAATGGATGGACTGACAGCACCGCATCTCAGGGGATCCCTGACGGAGAGGTGGTAGATCTCAGCACATCAAAGTCTCATCGCACAGTTGTAACAATGGATGAATCCACTTCAAATGTAGTGACCAAAATAATAGAAGACGATGAAAAACCTGTTGATTTGACTGCAGGAAGAAGAGCTGTGTGCTGTGACATGGTTTATAAGTTGCCTTTTGGAAGGAGCTGTACAGCACAGCAGCCTGCAACTACCCTTCCTGAAGACCGTTTTGGATATAGGGATGACCACTATCAATATGATAGATCAGGGCCCTATGGTTACAGAGGGATTGGTGGAATGAAACCTTCCATGTCTGATACAAATTTAGCAGAAGCTGGACATTTTTTCTATAAAAGTAAGAATGCTTTTGATTACTCAGGAGGAGCTGATGCAGCAGTAGATCTAACTTCAGGGAGAGTGACTACAGGTCAGTATGACAAAGCAATAGACCCTGCCTTGAAATGCCATTATGGTGTTATGCATCTCATTTCAGGGTGAAAAAAATATCCCTACTCTGGTTTTATTTATATTTTTGCTTTCTTTGGATGTTTTGGCAATACATTTTATAGTACATGTGCATTTTTGTTTCTTCATGGTTCTTGCTGTTGTCGTTGCCTGCATGTGCCTGCATGTTCAACGTTGCTTTTCTTCCGCATCTAATTAGGTTAACCTGTGGATTTGCATGCAGTCCCATTCATTGCACTCATCAAGATAAAAGGGCTTTCAGACCCAAACAGCATCATTCATTCTGAGAACTGGACTATAACTCTACCCTATATTTCAGGTGAGGTAATGGATTATTCAAGCAAGACTACAGGTCCATACCCAGAAACACGCCAAGTCATTTCAGGAGTTGGGATTAGTACCCCACAGTATTCCACAGCAAGAATGACTCCACCTCCAGGACCTCAGTATGGTGTGGGAAGTGTTTTGAGGTCATCCAATGGTGTTGTCTATTCTTCAGTAGCAACTCCAATCCCCTCCACCTTTGCTATCACCACTCAACCTGGCTCCATTTTCAGTACCACGGTCAGGGATTTATCTGGTATTCATACAACAGATGCACTGACTTCATTATCAGCCCTGCATCAAAGCCAGCCAATGCCTCGATCGTATTTCATAACAACGGGTGCATCAGAAACAGACATCTCAGTAACCAGTATGGACATCAATGCCAGTCTGCAAACTATGACTCTGGAAACTCTTCCTGCTGAGACAATGGACTCTGTCCCTGCTTTAACCACAGCGTCTGAAGTATTTTCTGAGGTGGTAGGAGAGGAAAACACTCTTTTAGTTGTGTCTGAGGAAGATAAACAGCAACAGCAACTTGACTTGGAGCGAGAGCTCCTGGAACTGGAGAAAATTAAGCAACAACGCTTTGCTGAGGAACTGGAGTGGGAACGTCAGGAGATTCAGAGGTTCCGGGAACAAGAAAAGATCATGGTTCAAAAGAAACTGGAAGAACTGCAGTCTATGAAACAGCACCTCCTTTATCAGCAAGAAGAAGAACGGCAAGCCCAGTTCATGATGAGGCAGGAGACACTAGCTCAGCAGCAGTTACAGCTTGAACAAATCCAACAGCTGCAACAGCAGCTGCACCAGCAGCTCGAGGAGCAAAAACTTCGCCAGATCTACCAATATAACTATGACCCCTCTGGAACTGCTTCTCCACAAACTACCACTGAACAGGCAATTTTGGAGGGTCCATATGCTGCTCAAGAGGGCAGTCAGTTTTGGGCCACTGAAGATGCCACCACTACAGCTTCTACCGTGGTGGCCATTGAAATACCACAGACCCAAGGATGGTACACTGTTCAGTCTGATGGGGTGACTCAGTACATTGCCCCACCTGGCATCCTGAGCACTGTTTCAGAGATACCTCTGACAGATGTTGTTGTAAAAGAGGAGAAACAACCCAAAAAGAGAAGCTCTGGAGCTAAAGTTAGGGGGCAGTATGAAGAGATGGGGGAAAGTATGGCAGACGATCCACGGAATTTGAAAAAGATAGTGGACAGTGGTGTGCAAACTGATGATGAAGAAACTGCTGATCGGAGCTATGCAAGCAGGAGGAGGAAAAGTAAAAAGAGTGTCGATACCAGTGTCCAAACCGATGATGAAGATCAGGATGAGTGGGACGTGCCTTCTAGGTCAAGAAGAAAAGCACGCCCGGGAAAATATGGAGACAGTGCCACAGAGGGTGACAAACCCCTTTCCAAAGTCTCCAGTGTAGCCGTTCAGACAGTCGCAGAAATATCTGTGCAGACTGAGCCACTGGGAACCATAGGAACACCTTCCATACGAGCACGGGTGGATGCCAAGGTAGAAATAATTAAACACATTTCAGCACCTGAAAAGACTTACAAAGGGGGCAGTTTAGGATGTCAAACAGAAACAGATTCAGACACACAGAGTCCTCCATACCTGGGTGCCACCTCTCCACCCAAAGACAAGAAACGCCCAACACCACTAGAGATTGGCTATTCGTCATCTCACCTCCGTGCAGACACCACAGTCCAGCTGGCTCCTTCCCCACCCAAATCTCCAAAAGTCCTTTACTCACCCATCTCTCCACTCTCACCAGGCAAAGCGTTAGAGTCAGCCTTTGTACCTTACGAAAAACCCCTCCCTGATGACATAAGTCCACAGAAAGTACTACATCCAGATATGGCTAAAGTGCCCCCAGGAAGTCCTAAGACAGCCAAGATGATGCAGCGTTCTATGTCTGACCCCAAGCCGCTGAGTCCTACAGCAGACGAAAGTTCCAGGGCTCCTTTTCAGTATTCCGAGGGCTTCACGGTAAGAGGGATTCTGTTCAGGTAGAAGACAATGGATGAGTTGATGTTGGTCATGTGTTTGCAGACTTAGAAGGTAACAAACTTAGCATGTAAGAAGTGAAAAACCAAAACTGAGGGAGGACTATCACATTATAAATGTTTGTGTCAGGGATGGGAAGAGAGGACCACATTCACTTAAAAGTGCCCCCAAAATGTTGTTATGTGAGACTGAAGTTTTATTCTTATATCAAAATATCTCTGAGTTGTAGCCTTATTTCAGTGTATGTAACTAGCACACCCCCCCCCTGCACAATGGGATAAATATTGAATATAAACAAATCAGGCAAAGGATGAAGCATGAGCATGCTTTTGGATGAGGAGTACTAGAACTCATGACTGAAGTGCTGGTCAAATATATGTGGTCAGTCGCTTCTTCCAGCCAGAATATTGACCTTAAAGGCTCAGCATAGCTTATTGTCCAAGATGTGGGCACCTGAAAGTATGGTGCATTAGGCCAGTCCATCCATGCTTATTTTGTTTGTGACCACTTTCTTAAACTAATCTCAGATGAGCCTCACCACTATTTCTTACAGAAGCATAACTAATTTTTATGTTTGTTTCAATAGTGGAGATTATTTTATGAGGCATAATTTTGCATTAAGGAAAGAAATAGATGAATATCTTAGATATATAGATGGAAATGGAAATGGGAAATGTTAAATAACCATAATTATATTATATATGGCTTAATTATCAGTTTGGTTTTGAACAAATCTTTTCTAAATAAAGTTTTCCAAATAAAATAATATAAAATTTTCCTTGGTGCAGTAGTTTCTTAACTCTGGACCTTTAAACTCTGAAGCTTCTAAATACAATAGTCTGAAATATCAATAATTCCACTGATACCCGTGTGTTAAACAGTGGCCATGGTCTATAAAATATAATATAAATTTTAAAATATATATTATTACATTATTTTATGATACATATATATTAAAATATATTATAAAATATATCCATATATCTGTTTCTAGTTATATAGACAAGATATTTATAATCATATTAATTAAAATTTCACATCTAAATTTCCCATATTTATGGAGAATTTCATATCTTCTTATGTCTTTCTTAAAGAGTTTTATGAAGTAAACACTATAAATCCAAGTAAAACTGTCTTTATGTGTGTATAGAGGACAAAACCATAGTCAGACAGGCACTTGTACATTGAGATTGCATGCAGTTTTTAGTTACTTCAGAATAGCTTTGCTTCTGGAATCTGTTAAATCTGTTGTGAAAAAGACATTTAAATAATTTTAGTGTGTAATTATTTTATAGATATGGTCTATAAAATCATGTAAATAATGAAATGGAAAAGCATTATGTTTTGAACATTTAAAGTAGTATTCCAAACTCCAGTCATCAGAAAGAGTAGCTTTACCAGTTGATGCATTGATCGCATACTAATATTGTGCCTTTAAACTTTTAATTCACTTATGGCAGCAATTCATGCTGTAAGGATTTTTCCTTACATTGTTTCCTTTGCATATACCAAATATGACATAATTGAATACATGTTATTGATTTTGATATTGGTTTTGGTAGGACCCATCATAACAAGCACAAGGTAAGTCTTATAGTATACAAAACTCTGAAATAGCATCTCCTGCTTTCAGTAGGTCAGGAAAGCTTTCAGGGAATGGACTCTGAGAAATGAAGGTTGAGTTTTCTGCTGGATCATGAAGAGAAAGATGAAGGTCATTCCAACAGATGACAAAAAATATTCAAGTATTCAGGTTAATAGCCAGATATACAGTGAAAAGGGGGCAAACAGGGTTTATAGTCAATGACAAGAAATCTTATGTACCTGACATCCTTTGTCTGTGAGAAGCTAAATCAAGGTCACCATCATTTTATGTTCAGCCTCTGAACTCCTTTGTTCTGCTCCTTTCTATTCAGTTCTCTAAGGATCAAGTACAGTAGTTTCTGATTAAAATCTATGTAAGCAAATCTATTACTTGCTCTACACTTTAAATTCACTACTAGGATCTTACAAAGTTCAGTCAATACTAGGCATTTATTTTTTATTGAAGCTATTTTTTTCATGCAATATGTTATTATGATCATTGTTTTCCCTCCTTCACCTCCTCTCAGATCTCCTCCACATCCCCACCTATCCAACTCCATTCCCTCTCCCTCTCTTTTTAGAAAAAAAAAAACAGACAGAAAAGAACAGAGTAATAAAAAGAAAAAGCATGAGAAACGTATACAAACTGAGTGACACACACAAAGAAAATCAAATCCATGAACACATAAAATAAGAAAACAATATATGAGCAAAAGACTAGTGAGGTAAGAATTTTCCACACACAGACGTATGAGACTAGAAAGAATTCTCCACAGATAATATTGAGTCTTTCTACTGTTGGGCGTGGGCCCTGCCTTGAATTATGGTTTCTATACCCAGTGAGGCTCCATTGGGGAACGCTAATTGTTTCTTTGTAAACAGTTATCAAATGGAGATAGCTTCTTGGCTCCAAGTCTGTATGTGCATCGATCCTGTTGTGTCTTCAAGACACTATCCTTGGTATCTTCTGTCCCCTCAGGCTTTTGCAATCTTTCCACCTCGTCTTCTGCCCTGAGGAGAGATATTTGAGTCTCACTTCCACCCCTAAATTCACATGTAATACCTATGGAATATTATCCTTATTATCTAGTATACTATACATAATAATTATGACATAATATCCTCATCCAGTAGATATAAGATCACATTTTATTTATGGGTAAAAATTTCATTTACTTAGTTCACAGCTTTATATAAATGCATAGAAAAATGTCTGATCAAAAGAAACATGTTTAATGGATTTCCTTGTTATCAAACTGTTTCCATTTTCCCAGTTTGGAGGGCTTCACAAATTCTTTAATACCCACTAAAACAAAAAGCAAAAGTTAAGCCTGAAATAAACAAGTCAATATTCACCCACTTACTAAACTTGCCTAATTGGGTGTTATGTTATGTCATTCTATTTTATCCTGTTTTGTTTTTCTACCCCCTGGATATGTAACATTTGACTTTGTCATAATTTATTTCAGCCAGCTTTTTTTTATTTTTTGTCATTTTTTTTAATTTTTAAAGAAATCTTTTCTCATTTTACATACCAATCCAAGTTCCCATTCCCTCCCCTTTTCCTGCTCCCCTGACCTTCCCCTGCCTCCACTCCTCAGAGTGGGTAAGACTTCCCTTGGGGAGTCAACAAAGTCTGGCACATCACTTTGAGGCAGAACCTCCTCCCCCAAAATCTAGGATGAGCAAAGTATCCCACCAAAGAGAATGGGCTCCAAAAAGCCAGTTCAAGTACTAGGAACAAATCCTGGTCCCAATGCCAGTGGCCCCACAGACTGCCCAAGCCACACAACTGTCGCCCACATTCATAGGGCCTACTTTGGTACTATGCAGGTCCTCACACCCCTCCCATGCTGCTATCAGTCCAGAGTCAGTGAGCTCCCACTAGCTCAGGTCAGCTGTTTTGTGGGTATTCCCAAAATGGTATTGCTCCCATTTGCTTATATTATTACTCCTCCCTCTCTTCCACTGTGGGATCTTGGCCCAATGCTTAGCTGTGGATTTCTGTATCTGCTTTCCATCAGTTGCTAGATGAAGATTTTATGATGATAATTAAGATAGTCATCAATCTCATTACAGGGGAAGGCATGTTCAGGCACCCTCTCTACTGATGCTTAGGTTCTCAGCTGGGGTCATTCTTGTGGATTCCTAGGAATTTCCCTAGTGCCAGATTTCTTGTTAGCCCCATAATTGCTCCCTCAATCAAGATATCTTTTCCCTTTTCTCTACCATCCAGTTCTATAGTGTTCTCCTCTCCCTCCCTTTTCCCACTCCCCCTCTTCTTCCACCCTCCCTACACTCCCAATTTTCTCAGGAGATCTTGTCTATTTCCCCTTCCCAGGGGGATCCATGTATGTCTCTAGTATTGTTTTCCTTGTTTCCTAACTTTTCTGGGGTCGTGGACTACAGTTCAGCCTGATTTTTCGAAAATCTACATGTGGAGTATGTGTAACTTCAGGTCCTTGTGGATTTCATAGTTCAGAGGAAGCAAACCATGTTCCCTGTGTCCTTTCTCTTCCATGAAGAGACTGATATGCATCACTAACCCAGGTGATCCATAACGTCAGGAAGAGATGTCAATTTACCACATCAGGAGAGACAGTGACATTAGTCACTGTGCGAAAGAAAGCAATGTAAATTCTCAGAACGTGCCTCCAGTTGGAAAGGTCTGAATCCATTCAAAAATTCATATGTCCTGAAGAATAGAAAATCTTTAATGGATTCTCCATCAAATAAATGATATGTTTCAGAAAACTAATCATTCTTCAATACTAATGGATAATACTTTCATACTGAAATAGGCTATTGTTGAACATATTACCACCTCTCCATGGCCATAGAAACACAAAGTATTAAAATTTTTTGATCTATTCCCAGCCCTAATAAACAGAATCTTTCTTAAAATTATTTTTATCTAGAGTAAACCAGTATCTTTTAGAAAAGCAGATGCAAATTATGAGCTGAATGTTAAAAGAATATTATTTTGCTTCACCGATTGCTGTTTTGATAGCTATTTTTAATTCTTTGGAAGTCTTCAATGTCTTTTTCTAAGAGTAATTTCCATAGCCAAAACCTGAGAAATTTTGTTTTTATCAAAAATTTATTTTTGTATTCTTCCAAAATATAAAGATTTAAAAGTAATAAATAGATGGGAGTTGAAAGATTTTTTTTTTTTTTGGTTTTTTGAGAAGGGGTTTTTTTGTTGGGCTTTGGTTTTTAG